CCCTGCCCCTCACCCCGGGCCTGGATTTCCTCCTTGGTCTCCCTATGATCAGGGCTCCACAGCACGTCCTCCTCTGACTCAATCAATGAGAAGTCGACACCTGAGGGCCGGTTCCGGGGGCGCTGGGTATAAATGCATGCACATGTGTATGCTCGCATTGTGCTGTTCGCGTGCGCACGCATTGTGCCCATGCATGCGCATGTGCATGCAGAATTGCACTTTTGCATGCACATCGTGTGCATGGGAGAGCGCATGCATGCATGCACGCGCGCCCACGTCGGCATGCGTGTTGATGTACGTTGACCAGCTTAATGGTGCGTATGCATCGCAAAAGTCTCAGGCTCTAGAATCGGGGGGTGGAGGAACGGTGTGCCCCGCGCCCACCGCAGCCGCCACCTCTATCCCTGCCGCACCGTTATTACCGCAGATCCATCCACCCACCCACCCATCCACCCATCCACCCATCCACCCACCCAATCACCTGGGAACATGGTCTGCTTGGCGGAGAGCGCGAAACGCCGGTCGCAGGGGTGCACCTGGCGAGGGTTTGAGGCGCGAGGGTTGATGGGGGCAGGGCCATTGAGTGTCACCGCAAGCAAAGCTGTACGTGCAAGCAAGCCAGCGGCGCGGTGCGGACATGATGAAGCCAAATCCCATCACACGCGCTCCCAAAGCGTGCGGAGTCGCGGCGTGCCTCATGCGCCAGCCAGCAGTGTCCCCGAGGGCCGGCTCCAGCCCCTGCATGACGCGGCCGCAACCACATGGCTCACCCCCAGGTGCTCGCGGCACAGCTCCATACACAGGAACGGCGGCGCCGACCCCAGCGCCACCGCGGGGTGCGCGGAGCGCCGGCCGGCCGTCTCAGAAAGCTCCACCATCAAAAGGCCGCCGACCGCTTGGCCCGCTGCTTCGCTGCCGCCGTTGCCATTGCCATTGCCGTTCCCGTTGCCGTTGCCGTTCGCCGCCGCAGGCGCCGCCGCTGCGTGGTCGCCAAAGCAGCCGACGGCGGTTTCTATCGCGCGTGTCAGCGGCGACACAACCACCAGGTCAGGCCGCACGCCCGCGGCCCTGATGTGCTCGCCGAGCGCGTGCGCCTGCCGCCAGCCCTCCTTAGTCAGGTGGGCGTCCTCGTACTCGTATGACTTGTAGTTGTTGTGGTCCTTGCGGCCTGCAGGAGGCGGCGCCGCGGTGGGAGGTGGAGGGGCACGGCGGGTGGGGTACTAGTGCCGCTGATCGTGGCCTGCAGCCGCTCCTGCCAGTTCGGCTTCACTGGACAATGTTTGGTCTCAACTGCAGTGCATGCAAGCCCTGTGTGGCCACCCGAGTCGCCCCTCTTGCCTGCCACATTGTGGAAGCCCTCCCCGTGACGGATGAGATGCAGCACTGCGGCGACGAAGCGGCGGGTGCGCACCGAATAAGCACGGTTGTGCGTTGGTGCATGGGGCGCCAATGGGTTTACGATGAATGGTGGCCGCTGCGCTCGCAGCAGAGCACAGCAGTGTGCAGCAGACATGCAACTGCGGCCCTTCATGATCCGTGCGCCACGCAGCTGTTTGCCAACTGGCAGGCGGATGATGGGATGATGAACGAGTTGGTGTCCAAATTGAGTTGCCAGCCAAGCAGCATGAGCGGACTGGCGTGTCTAAATTGTAAATGCTGCCAATTGGCCTCTCACCCTTGGTGTACCGCAGCGGGGTCACTTGCAAAAGCCGCGGCTGCGGGGCCTCCAGAGCGTGCGTGTGCGCCGATGCCGCGGCGGTCCCTCCAGTCGCCACCGCCTGCGCCGCCGCGGTGTGCTCAGTCTGTTGGGTCATAGTCGCGCGGATGCTTGCGGAGATTCTGCCACGCGGGAAATGCGCTGCCTGAGATCGGCAAAGGTGCGACCTCGCGGCCTGGGAATTCTTTGATGATAGCATATCTGTATAAGAAACTCAAGACACGATTAAGCTATGGTAGCTTGGAAGCCCCGCGGCAGTCATCATACACAGTTTGCTGTCGCAGCGTGGAAATGTGTTGGCGCTCTCCCCTGCAGGCAGACCGACTCCAAGCACTGGGAGGGCTGCACCCAGCATGTGTCAGCCGCCCACATTTTTGAACTGTCACAACATGGAACATTTCTTGGCATCGTCATACTTTGAACGCTTTCACCTGCATTGGCGGTGGATGTGCCAAAAGAAAGTTTGCTGGAGATTTTTGAGTACAGTAGGTGACATTCACCAACACTTCCCGATCACACGCTAGACTTTGGCATGGTCTTCTCCAACTTGACACTTTGTTACAACTTGTGTGCATCGTAGAACGGTGAATTCACACCTCTCTGCGTCAAAAGCGCCATACGTCCTGGCCTGTGCTGCACCCTGTAGCCCCCCCCCCCAAAAAACCATGTCGCTGCAAAAAAAATCGGCGACAATTCCTTGCCCAACCCCTGAACATCCATATGCAAGGGGCGGCCCACGCAAGAGGCAGGTGCTGCCCGTGGATTCATCAAAAATGGCCCAGCCCTCAAGTGAGGGCTAAATTGGAATGCTCTGTAAACTCTCAACGAGATTGCACCTGTGCAAATTCACCCCGAGCGACGCTGTCAGCATGCTCCCCTGCAGGGCAAAACTGTGTCAGGCAGTCCGATGGAGTTTGGGGAAGCAGCCGCCGCAGCTCAAGCCCACGGCGCAACAGTGCTAGGCCGCGTTTGGTTAGAGGCAGGTACACCATGCGTCGTGAGGCTGGCATGAGGCAGGTGAACATCCACATTAGGTACGGCACACCTGGGCACACTGTGCCCCTACTGGCAGTAGGAGTGCGGGGAGGGGGGCCACACAACGACGCCATCGAACGAATCGTCAAAATGTGCGGCGCTGTTGACGGCACCATGCATCCGCATGGGCATGACAGACATAGCGTGCAGAGCAGTGTCAGCAGGAGAGGCATCTGCGGACACGCCACCTGCCACCTGCGTTGTGGCCGCCCCCCTTTTCCTTTGCCTCACTCCTCCATCCATCCCCCGCAGCGCGGTGGCGGTGCCGGGAATTCTCTCGGCAGCGTGCCCAGCACAGAGCACGTCGTCCCCACGCCCTGACCCATGACATCTTGTCATGACCCCCGCCAGAGGTGTGACGTCATCATCAGCGCCAGGCGGGGTTGACCAGGGGCTGGTACACCGCCTTGATCTGCGGAGACGAGTGGGGGCGTAAGCAGCGGGACGGGTGGGGAACGAGGGCCAAGGATGCGGGGCAGAGGCGCGCGCCCGACAACAAGACCCGCGCGCGCGGCGGCTGCGGCCATGTCGCGTGTGCTGCAGCAAGCATGGCGGCGCTGGCCCTGGACTGACCTGGGTGTAGTTGGTGAGGGCATACTCCCCCTTCTCGCGGCCCATGCCAGAGTCCTGGGGTTGAAAAAAGAGGTACAGGCACATGGCCGGGCACAGGCAGCGGGTGCAAGGGGCGTGGGGGTGAGGAAGAAGCAGGACTCGTTTGAGTGTCGACGCGCCTCACCAGCCAGCGGAACCACAATTTCGCAACGGCGCAAGGCGAGATGGTCAGAGTGATCAACTTTTGAGCATGTGCCAAAAGACAGGTGCGAGCGGCGGCGCAAACGACCTTGTAGCCGCCGAAGGGCACGGCAGAGTCGTACACGTTGTAGCAGTTGACCCTGTTGATCGGATGGTTGGCATGTTTATGAGAGGCAATGCTTGCCAGCATAAATTGTTCGTCATGACTGTTTTCAACATGTAATGTACGCACAGAGGATAAGGCATTGCTCTGCAATGAAAAGACATCAGCAGACCCAACTCTGCTATAGCTATAGTCACTATTCGTACTTGTCTCACTGTTCGTACTTGTCTCAAGTGAGAGCGGCCCCTAATATAATAGATATATATATATATTGTATATATATATATATATTGTACTGGTCAAGTGAGACAAGTACGAACAGTGACTATAGCTAGTGATGTCGGGCGTCCTTGCTTCTGGGCAGGCAAAGCATCAGCTCAGAGCAATCTGGCGAGCGTGGTGCACAGCGTGCCCCGGGGCCCACCAGACAGTGCCGGCCTTAATGCCGCGCGTGAGGGTGTTGATGGAGTCCACGTTGGTGGAGAAGACGCCGGAGGCCAGGCCATAGGGCGTGTCGTTGGCGCGGCGGATCACCTGGAGGAAGCGGGAGGGGTGGGGCGGCGCTGGACAAAGGATCGGCCGCAGACTGGCCTCGCAGGGCTGGGGTTTCAGGTGGCGGGAAGACCAAGCGGCAGCCATAGTGTCAGCGTCATGGCGAACATCTCAGGACTGTGCTGCGCCTGCCTCACTCGTCGCTCTGTGGTTTGGGTGGGGAGCCGGGCTGCTCACCTCCTCCAGGGTGCTGAACTTGGAGATGCACTGCACCGGCCCGAAGATCTCGTCGCGGCTGATGAGCATGTCATCCCTCACGTCGGCAAACACGGTGGGCTCGATGAAGTAGCCCCTGTCGCCCTTGGCGCTGCCGCCGGTGCTGTGGCGGGGTATCGAGGTGAATTATGGATTCGAGCGGGTGTTGTTAGAAGGTGAGAAGAGGTTGTGAAACGGTCTGAAATGATTGGCTGGAAACAGGTGTCAAGCAGGAGAGGCGATGGGCACCTCCTTGAGATGCGAGGCCGCCGAGCAGGAACCAGGCCTCTGGCTCGCGACCACGGCCGCAGCAGGGTTTCCCTGCCAAGTCCCCTCTCCCCGGGGTGTTGCTCACAGGAGGCGCGCGCCCTGGGACTTCCCGTGGTCGATGTACTCCAGGATCTTGTTGTACTGGTCACGGTCAACCTGGGGTGACGGTGGTACAGGTGACGCACGTGCGATGTCATGGTTGACACAGGTCAAGTCGATTGTGCGGTGCGCGTATGCACAGCACTGGAAAGGTAGCATCGCGGGCAGATGAGGCGATCACAGTTCGCCGTTCGGATGCCTAGACTGACGGTGGATGGATCTGCAAGCGTGCCAACGAGCCAGTGCAGACCTCGCATCAGAATGTGCGGACGCCTGGACGCAGGAAGGTCTGCAAACCCCTCCTCCCACCTGGGGCCCCTGGTCGACGTCGCCAAAGGGGTCGCCAACGCGGCGGCCGGCGGCGGCCTTGGCAGCCTTGTCCACAAACTGAGAGGTGCAGGGGCGTAGGGAAGCAACGCGCGCAGGCGGTTGCTGGGGGTTGGCTGACAGCAAGATGGTGTTGCTGCAGCATTCCGTTTGGAACGCAGGTATGTGGGACAAAGCAGAGGTGCAAACAAAATCCAGATTGATCACATGGAGTGCGCCTCGGGTCACACTTGGAAAGCATCTCACACTCACCTCATCATAGATCGCCTCATGGACGTACAGCCTAAGAGCAATGTGTGGGTGCAAGTGAGCGCGTGTGTGTGCATGCGTGATGTGTGTTTTGTACGGGTTTATTTGATTGTGTATGTGTGTATGTGTGTGTGCGTGTGTGTACGTGTGCATGTGTGTGTGTGTGTGTGTGTGTGCGTGTGTGTGTGTGTGCGTGTGTATGTCGCAGGCTTGACATTCTTCGAGTGGTTGTGGAAGTGGTTAAGGGGCGAAGGGGGCCAGCCAGCAAGTGCACGGGTTGCGAGGGCACAGCCTGGACGGCGCTCATGCAAGTGGTGGCGTACAGGACGGCAGCAGCAGCGTCAGAAGCATCCGCTGGGACCACCCCATGTATGGGGCCGTTGGCCCCGCGGCCCAGGGGCTCCCATGCCGCGGCCCCGGCCCAAACGCGGCCCGCAGCAGAGTCGCGCGCCTGGAGCCCGCGGCGCAGCACTGGCCGTGGTTGAAGAAGAGCGCGAAGGACGCGTCCTTGACGGCCTGCTCCACGTCCACATCGGGGCACACGATCACGGGGGACTGCGGGTGGGGCGGGGGTCAGGAATTGCCAGGTCAGGAGTTTGCTTGTGTGAAGGCGCGTGCGCTTGCAATCGAATGGGACGGGGACGGACAGCAAAGAATTTGATGATGTTATCAGAGGAGAGAGTGGATGAGGTGTCCTGCAAGTAGAAGCGTGTGTGTTCAGTGATGCACCTGCTCGATCCAAGGCACACACCTGCCAATTTGTGGCAGCACAAGGGGGCGGCGGGCGCGGGCCACCAGTGGGATCCAGCCGCTATCCAGAACCCAGCCCGCCGCAGCCGCACCTTGCCGCCGAGCTCCAGGGTGCAGGGCTTCAGCGCGTGTGCGGTCTGGGCGCCAATTTTGCGGCCGACCTCGGTGCTCCCGGTGAAGGCGATCTGGAAACATTGTGACGATAACCCATAGCATTGTCAAGACATGCGGGGGAGCACAAACACCCACTACGCATGCATCACGCATGCAAAAGAGTGCACGTGGCAGACACATATGTGTGCAGGCGGTGCCCGCTTCAGGCAAAGGAGCAGTGGCTGCAGCGTGCTGCTTGCAGGTTGGGTAGAGGTGGGGGGCAAGCAGCAGCTGGGCTGCACCCGCAGCCGCTAATCGCCCATAACCACCCATCGCAAGGCGCCCGGCCGGCAACTGTGCATCATGACTGATTACAGACTCGCCTTGTCCACCCCGGGATGCTCCACCAAGGCGGAGCCCGCAGTGGGGCCGTGGCCCGATATGATGTTGACGACCCCGTTGGGGAAGCCTAGGGGCAGAGGAGGGGGGTAACAGGACGATCAGGACTCCATGACACCACTCAGTGTTGCAGGACGGAGGCACGCCAACAGAAGCGGCAGAAGCCAATATCGCGACCAGCCGCCGGCGATCCACGAAGCCCCCCGCCAGGCCAGAGGATGCTCTGCCCGTCGTAGCGGGTGGGATGCAAAGGCCGAGGATTCCCAAGGCCATCCGCACGCAAGCACAGCAGGGGCCCCTGGCTGGTCAGCAGGCAGCACGCATCGTGACACGGGAGGTGACAAGTGCGCCCGCTTGCGCCCCCGCACCGGCCTCCGCGATGAGCTCGCCGATCTTGATGGCTGTGAGGGGCGTCTGCTCCGCGGTCTTCAGGACGACGGTGTTGCCCGCCGCCAGGGCGGGGCCGAGCTTCCAGGCCGCCATCAGCAGGGGAAAGTTCCATGGCACGATCTGGGGGTTGGGGGTGAGTGGCGGAAGTTGCGGCGGTGTTTGGAGACGTGGAGCGTGATGTATGAAAGCAACAAAGTGGATCACAGTGCCCGCATGCTGAGAATCAAGATTACGTTCCAAGGATTGTGGAAGGTGCAATCGCATGTTGGCAGGGAAGTGCCAGCTAACATGCAAGCAGGCACACTAGCACAGCGCGCACGCGCACGATATACACACACTTAAGAGCGGCACATGATACACACACACACACACAAAGCACACATTTGTCCCCAGAGGCGCGCACCTGCCCCACAACCCCCAGCGGCTCATGGAAGGTGTAGGCCCAGTATGGCCCGTCCACGGGGATGGTCTTGCCCTGGATCTTGTCAGCCCACCTGGAAACAAAAGGACGATGGCAACCGACGGGTTGTGCATTTCAAAATTTTACCAGATGGCGGCCATTTGAGACAGGCGGCCGCGGCACCATGGCCCAGGTGTTGTTACTGGACTGTGCGGGCGACGCGGTTTCGTGGTGGCGGCACCCAGCATTGATGCCTGGCGCATTCCGGCCCCAGGACCCCCGCCGCCGCTGCAGCGGCTGTCATGCAGGTGCAACCCGTCGCAGCAGAACGCCAGGCCTGCGCCTTTGCAAAGAAGGCGGGAAGCAGGACCTCGACGCTCACCCTGCATAGTAGCGGATGTGGTCGTAGCTCAGGGGGATGTCCGCATTGCGGCTGTACCAGATCGGCTTGCCGTTGTCCTGCAGTGGGGGTTTCAGCGGCAGCGAGGCACGATGGGCACACAGGGGTCTGCAGGCACAGGTGGTGCGGGGGCCAACGAGGACGAACAAGCATTCCTCCAAGACGAGAATGCCACCGCCCGGCATGCTGCCGCCAACGCGTCATGCCACACAAAGCGGCTGCCGCGTCGCAGCGCAGCAACGCGACGTGCGGCGCTGCCGGGGGGGCCCGGCTAGTGACAGCAGGGGTGTGATACAGGAGGCGCGAGCCGCACCAGCGTCTCCAGCTGCGCCAGCTCCTCTGCGTCGCGCTCCATGAGGTCAGCCAACTTGAACATGAGCCTACCGCGCTCCTTGGCAGACATGCGCGGCCTGGGGGTCGTCGAGAGCGTTGGACGGGATGGTGGGGGGTGATTGCGGGAACCCAGTTAGCTGCCATGCGGGAGACGTCCGAGTGCTTTGGTGGAGGCACTGACAGTGAAGGGGAACAAAGGCAGAAGTGGCCTGCAGGCTGCGGCTGCGGCTGGGGACAGGGTCCAGGGTGCGCTTGGAGGCCACAGACCTCACGCCCAGTCAGGCCCTGGCACGCACAGCACACACAGCACACGGTCCTCGGGGCTGGGTCGTATGCGGGGCGGAGGCGCGCGAGTGCATGGAGGGTGCGCTTTTGTGCGCACCAGGGCCCCTCGTCGAAGGCCCTGCGGGCGGCGATGACGGCCTTGTCCACGTCGGCCTTGTCGCCCTCTGCGACACGGAGGATCTCCTCCCCAGTGCGGGGGTCCTCGACGGGCAGCTGGGGGGATAAATAAAGGGTGGAAAGGAGCGAGCGGGTGTGGGGCGGAGCGGGGCAAGAGGAGAAGGCAGGGGGGGCAAAACGGGTGGGGAAGTAGGGGCCTTGTATTGTGATGAGGTGTCCATGTGGCGAGGAATTGACGCATGCGGTGCTATTGCAGCCGTAAGCAGACATGCCATGCCTCTGGGTGCTTGTGAGCTTGTGCCTGTGCGCACCCGGTTGCGGCTCAACCTCTTCATTGGCGCTACCACAGGCGACACACACACACACACACATGTGCGCGCGTGTGCGTGCATGTGGGGTTTCACACATGCATCCAAGTAATGGCAGTAAATGCACACACGGATGTACATGCACCAGCACATGCGCGCACCGTCTTGCCCGACACGGCGTCGTGCCACTCCCCATCAATGAAAAGCTGGGGCGGCGGGTGAGGTGGGAGGTGCGGCGGGGCTGCGTCAGCCAGCAGGCTGCCACATGATGGCGGCCGGCAGCATGAGGCAGCTGCTTAGCGTACAGCAAGGGAGCTTAACCACCGGTCAGCATCAAGGCACAGGCACATTACAACAGCGCTTTGACCAGATCAGGGGCACAGGTGACGCGCGCATGACATCACAGGGCGCTGTGGGCTGAGTCATGGCGACCACCCGGCTGCAGGTGCGCCCCGCTCATACCTTTTTCTGCAGGGCCTGCGCATGGCGGATGGCCGACTCTCCAAGCGTGGGCGCGTCCCTGCATACCACGCTGGTATCAGCAGGCTAGTATCATACGAAATGCAGCAAGCCGCGGGTTGGGACTGTGATGGGATCCGCCGGTTTTGCAGTTGGGATGCTCGCCCGGCACGGGCGCCCACCTGGCGGGCATCACAGACACAGCGCGAGCCGGCTGGAAACGGCCGCGGATTGGCAGACCGGTGGCCCGCATGCTGGGGCGTGAGAGTGTACGCATGCCTGCTGCGTTCGGTGTAGAGGGATCTGCGGGATCTGTTCAGGGCGAAGCCGGCAGCCAGAATACCTGCTGGTGAGCGTTATGGCTTTGATTTCTATGATCAAAGCGACCATGCAGCGTGGCTAGACCACAGCCTGCCGGCTGGCACCCTGCGGCACCAGTTCTCAACCGAGTCACCTAGGCGCATGCGAGTCAGCAAGGCGCGTGAGGCCGCGACGCCCGCAGCCGCGGCCCAGCGCAGAAGTGCGGTGCATTGGCAGCATGTCCAACTGATTCCAGGGGCCTGCGCTCGTAGCTCAGCACGCGGCACGACAAAATGGACGCAACGACGCATGTGCAAACAACAATCAGTGGTCACCGAGGCTCCTCAACCCCCGCGTGGGCGATCAGCAGGGCCAGGTGGTGCATGCTCAAATCAAAAGGAATGTGGGACATAGCACATGCGGTTGGAAGGAGGAATACATCATGCCACCATTCAGACGGGGCAGCAGTGGCGCACGCGCGTCTCCAGCCCTTCACAGACAACTGCGGTGCCAACTCAGGGGTGCGCGTTGGCATAGTATGTGAACATGCCTTGAGAAGTTGGCATGGCAGATGTTGCATGGGCTACAGGATTCCATACAGGACAGCAGTGAAGGGCTAACACCCTGCAATGCTGGTTTGACCAGGGCCATATTTCTAAGCGTTCGCCCTAATGTGCGGCATACGCTGCATGCCAGGTCCTGGGGCAACTTTGCTTTGGCACCATGTGCATATATTCTAGTGCCTCTCCCCTAACACAGATGGGGGCCCACAACAGCGTCTGCTTCTGCAGCCGCTTGCAGGCGGCCACGCACAGCAGGACTACTTGCAGCCGATTTTTCCGCCGCCAGGGAAAGGCCGGAGTCAAACCCACCTGTGATGTATGAAGGGTCTTATCTGTCTTCTATCAAACATAAAGCACACACGACCGCATTGCGTGAAGCTTAGTTGACGTAGTCCAACATGGCGAGCCTGCGCCTGGCTGCCGTGGTAGCGGTGTTGGCTACCATCAACATAATTCAAAGTTCAGCTTCTGCGCCCCAGGAGACTCACGCGTCCAGGAGTGGTTCCGCGCAGCTGAGCCCCAAGCGGCCCAGGAGGGCTGCGAAGCCTCGCAGCAAGGTGTCCAGGCGAGAAAATAGCGTGAATAGGATCGGCCACCTCGGCTTCAGGTGCGGGCAACGCCACGGGCGTGCAGCAGTTTTAGGGGGGTGCTGCTGGAAGGCGGCGCGCTGCTGCGCGCACCGACGCGAGCGACGAGACAGAGGGCCGCGCGCCGTTGCCATCGCTTCTCATGCTCGAACATGATGAAATCCTCCTGCGAATCACCACACCAATGATCTCCAGGATCGGCTCCGCTGGTCGCCTCTGGAAGGCCATAAAGCGCGTTCTGACCCCCTGCTGGACCAGACCCAGCACCAAGCACGACCGCGGGGACCCACCCCCAGCCCCAGACCCCGGCGACCCCCCGCCGGCGCCACCACCACACCCCTGCGTCCAGGCGCCGTCAACACACACGGCGCCGTCCTCGCCGGCCGCGGCGGCCCCCTCGTCCCGCCGCCGCCTGGCGTGGTTTGTGTTGCCGTCGGCCGCCCCCCGCATGCTGCTGGCCAGGGCGTGCCCGCCCGCCGTGCCGCGCCCCCTCGGCCCCGCCGCAGCAGCCGCGCCGAAGCCGTCCGGCGCCGCTGTGTGCACTGCTGGCCTCGCTGCCACATGCAAATGCGTGCCTGACCCCGCCGCCGACACCGCGCCGCCGGCTGCAGTCGCTGAGCCTCCGCCCAGTGCTCCTCAGCCCAGTCGCCCCCCGGCCGACGCCAGCATCGCGCCCTCATATGTGCTTGTGACATCTGGCCCCGTGGGCGCCGTTGTCAACATGTACTGCGCGGCTGGCGCCGCGGCCGAGCTCGCGGCAACCCCCATTGCCGCGTTTGCTGGTGCATGGGCCGCCGCAGCTTGGCGAGGCGCGATCACCAAGTTTCTCATTACGCTCAACAACGGCGAGACGACAGTCACCGTCGCGCCGCTATTCTGCTTCAGCCGCCGCAGCCAGCCGGTGTTTGCAGCCGTTGACAGCTCGAGGCCAACACGTGCCCTGCCGTGCGGCGACGATGCTGCGCCAGCGCGTCCCTGACGCACTTTGGCCCCCTCGGCTCCTTGCAGCAGCAGCCATGCACCAACGGCAGCGCCGCTCACGCCGTTGTCATCTTGGTCAGCCAGCAGCGCTGTGCTGGTAAGGCCAACAACACCGTAAGCGTCACAACCCACGCCGCCTTCACAGTCTGCAGCGAGAACGGCCGCTGCACCCTGCAGCCGCTGCGCCTGCTCGGCTGCGCCGCAACGCCTCAGGCCCTGCTGCTGCCGCCGGCGCCGCTGGCGGCTGGGCCTGCCAGCCACAGGCCTGCGGCATCCCTGGCTCCCTGCTTGCGAGCGAGCAACATGTGCTGCCGCCGATGCCGCGGCAGGCGGGAGCGCCACTTCAAGTGCCGCGGCGGCCGCTGCCCTGCGACGGCATGAGGTTGTGGCGCTTGGAGACCCTCGCGGCGGGCTACCTGCACATGCAGTCATGGCAGTGCATCCTGACATCCGGGATGGTTTCACGCAGCCACGTCAGCCGCAGCCTCGCCGCCCACATGACATCCCTGCTCCTGGGCCCTGCCGCCGCGCACCCCCAGCGCGCTGCTGCCCCCAGGGTCGTGCGCTCTGTGGTGCCCGAGCCCCACGTTGGCCGGGACTCCAGCAGCCCCGCCGCCACCGGCCTTGCCGTGCCGGCCCCCTCGTGCCTGAAGCAGCAGCAGCAGCAGCAGCAGCAGCAGCAGCAGCAGCAGCAGCAAGCATCGCAGGCCTGCAGCAGCCCTGATGGTCAGCCAGCTGAGGTGGAGCTGGCACCGTTGGAGTTCGCAGCGTGCCCCTCCAGTGATGAAGAGCAGCAGTCGGCGCCGCTGCTTGATTCCATCAGTGCAGGCCTGCTCTCGCCGCCAGCCCCGGACAGAAGCACTGCGGCGTCGGAGGTTGAGACGCCCGCGGTGGTGGTGGCGCCACTCGAGCTGCTGTACTTCGGCTCGCTGGCCGCTAGCCTTGACTATGGCTGCGACGCCATTGATAGCATCGGCTGCGACAGCGGCGCGACGGCCAAGCAGCAGGACACCTGCTCTGATGTGGCGGCGCCGCAGACCGTGCAGGCCTGTGTGGCGATGTCCCACCCTGTTTCATCGCTGGTCAGCCGCGCCAGCTGCGACGCGGCTGAGGAGCTCAATGATGGCCGCGACGACAACGGGCCAGCACAGCAGCCCCTGGACGGCGCCGGCCAGCAGCAGGCGGCCGAGGGGGTCAGGCTGCTGCGGCTCCTCCGGCAGGGTGGGCAGATGAGGCTGCCCCAGCCTTCTGCTCAGGCACGCCCTTCGTCGCAGCCGCAGCAGGGGTCGTCTGCGAACACGCGTGCCCAAGGGCCCCAGCAGCACCAGCACCAGCACCACCAGTTAAAGCCGCTGCGCGAGTGCGGCCCGCAGCGGCTAGAGTCGGCGGTGCAGGACCTGGGCTGCGAGCTGGACTGCGCCGGCCCATACGCCGCCGCGTCCGAGCAGCAGGCAGGAGATCCGCCAGCTGCCTATCATGGCAATGACAGGGTCGGCTGTGGCCGCGAGCCCTCAGCCGCACCCGAGGCCAGCAAAGCGCCCGCTGTGCCGCGGAGGGTGCGCACGTCGCCCCAGCACGCGAGTGCGGTGGCTGCCCTCCTGCATCAGGGGGGCCAGCAGCTGCGGCCTCAGCAGCAGCGGGCGCTGCCGCCACGTCAGCAGCAGCACCAGCAGCCGCAGCCCGCTGGCAACAGCTGGGAGGCTCGGGGCGCCTGGGCAGCGGGCGGCCAGGAGGCCAGGCAGCATGACAATGGTGGGGGCGACGGCGGCGCCTTGGAGGTGCACCAGGACTTCACCGGCGCCCCCCTGCAGGCGGCAGGGGAGGAGGACGGCCAGCAGCAGGGGGCTGCGGCGGCCCCCAAGCGCTACTACCACCGCGGCGGGCGGCGGGGGAACGCCGCCCGCGCAAAGCGGCGGCAGCAGGCGGCCGATGCCGAGAGGGGATAGTAATGCCGTATTGCCTGTTGGTGCGGGGTGGCTGCAGGGGGTCTGTGGGGCAGCGTGCTGACTTGTTGACTTCAAGGCGCGTGCAGGCGAGCTGAACACCTGCGTGCACTGCACCATCCACGCACACCACACCAAAACGCGTTCTTGAATGCCCGGCCCATGTCTAGGTGGAACAGCCTGACAAAATGCACGCATGTCCGTGCGCCAGCAGTGAGCAGTTTAGCTGACAATTTTCCGGCCTGCTGTCATCATGCGTCGTTTCCTTACTCGCCCTTTGGCTCCTGTCTTGACGGTTTCCATAATTTTCAGTTGATGTAAACCTTTGTTTACAGCGTCAAATTAGCAAGGGCCCTTGCAGGCAACACCGCCCAAGGATGGGTAACACTTGCTGGTGGTCAGGATATGGGGCTTGAGCCAGAAGCTCAGGGGTCAAGGAAAGCAAAGCTGCAAAGCAAACCTGCCAGCGAGCAAGCGCCTGAGAAAAGCTGGGGGCTACCAAACAGGATAAGGCAGAGGCCACCAACACAACAACAAACACATGGGGCATGTAACACAAACATACCACAACACAGACAGCCGCCTGGCAGCCTCTGGCTGCCAACAGCCCCGCCACCCCGCGGCCAGCCATTTGCCGGACAATTGGCCCCTCACTTTGCAAACCGCTGCAGCGCCCTTGGCACAGCCTCCAGCTTCCGCCGCCTCTCCTCCTCCGCCGCCTCCTTCCGCCGCTCCTCCTCCTCCTTCATCCGCGCCAGCACCGCGGGCTTCTTGTCCTCTATCACGTTGCTCTGCTTGCGCCGCTGCCGCCGCGAGGGCTTGTTCTTGCCCTTCATCCGCTTCTTCTCGTCCGCCTCCTCGCGGCGCGCGGCGACGCGCGCGCGGTTGGCCTCTTCGGCTGCCGCTTTGCGCGCCCGCGCGACCTCCGTCGGCTCCCGCAGCACCTGCAAGATAGTGATACAATAACATGGTGTCAATATTATGTCGCCATACTCAACCAATCGTGTTTCCATACCATCTCCCTTTCCATGACAACCCATCGACGAGCCGTCCCATCGCCGCTCCGTGCTGCAACCCCACCCCGCCTTCCACACACACCCACCTTTCCGATGGCGTCTGGGTCGAGCACTATGGTGTCGGGCTGCAGCTTGTCCAGCAGCTGTACCACCTCCTGCTGCTGCCGCTCCTTCAGGTTGGCGTAGGGGTTGGCCAGGAAGGAGTCCACGTTCGGCTCGCCGGCGCCTGGGGGCAAACGAGTGCAGTGCCAGGGGGTGGGGCATCGGGGGTTGCGCCGGGTGTTTCGGGCAGATTTTGGGCTGGGAGCTGTAGAGGAGCGGTTTCATGCTGGGGCGTCTCGTTGCTCAGGGGGCGAGG